TCTTTTTCTTTTTGGTCTTTGGCAATGTTTCCCCACCACTTCCCTCTCGTAGGACTCCTTTTTTTTTCCCGCGTGCTCGGTTGGGCGATCGATCTACCGGTACCGGTAGGTGGTGGTCAGAGAGGAAGGAGCTGCCTGCTGTCGTGGTTCGATGGCAGTTAATTAAGCGAGGATGCCAAGAGATTTTTCGCGGCCAGGTTGGGCCCCGGCCGAGCCAGCACCCCAATTGGAGGAGGGATGGAGAAGAGGACGTTCTCGACGACGGAGCGGGCGTGTGTGGATCTGGTGCGTGCAGTAATGGGACGCCGCCGGTCTGTGCATGATTGGGTCTTCGGCGGCGCTGCAGTTCGTGCTGGGAATTGTCTGTATCTGAGCTCTGGGCTTTTCACTCTTCGTGCAGGCGGGGGGGGATGGGTAGGTTTGTGTATATATATATATATAAATATTTATACTTGAAGCCCAGGCTGCAGGAGCTTTCCCCCGCGCGTGATCGTGATCGGGTTGAAGGTCCAGTGGGACAATATTTTTATGTCTGGTTTGTTACAAACGGATCCCCTTGCAAGGTATGCGCGATGAGAAGCGCGAGCAGACGTAAGTCTTGACCTGGTAGATACCAAAGACGATGGATGGATGGCCCTGGAAACATTTGAGGATCGCTGAGTAGCCTAGGCCAAGAGGATCGATTTCTCTGAGATCAAGAAGATGCACGCTGGACATGGGATCGTTGACGACGAGGTGGTTACAGACCAGCCTGCTCGGTGGGGGAGAGCTAGCTGTATCGAATTACTGGGTGCCTCTGGTTTCCGGGCTGGGTCTCCCAAGGGTCCCCAGTCGGGAATACATGTGTAGAAGTCCCCTTGATCAAAGGGTGAACGATAGAACAAATAAATCTCTGACTCACGACGCAGAGGATGACCTGCGCAACAATCTGCCGCCCTCCCTCTCCCTCTTCTAGCATCTCCATTCTCGACTGCATCTCTTTGGCACCGATCTCGCAGTCGTGGTCTCCTCCCTGTAAACCCTCATGCCGACACCTCCGACCGCCGCCCCCAAAGAAGTAGTAGCTCAAGAGAAACCCGAATAGCTGAAAAGTGCTCGCTGACCAGAATCGAACACAAAGCTCTACCTCGCATCGGCTCCCCTCCCCAATCTCACCCCCCACGTACACGATCGCGACGCGCCTGTGACCCTTCCCCTCGTGGCCCTCCTCCCACCAGCCACGGCCACAGCCACCGCCCGCCCCGACCCGCCCCGACCCGCCACCCACCTCGCCGGCACGGCGCCGGCTCGCGGAAGAAAAAATTCCCAGCCGAGTTAAGTACCTCCACTCCGGCCGGGAATCCAACAGATCAGGAGGAAAGATGAGCTAGCTCAGTCGTCAGAGCTAACGCCAAGACCGTTTGAATTCCCAGCCCGGATACCGGGTGCTTATTGGGTGGTACTGGTGCTTACCTCGCGCGTGGGAGGAGGGCTGGCTGGGGGGTATTCGGAGAAGAAATATCCAACTATTATTTTTTTGGGGGGCCTTTTTTGGTGGGGGGGGGGGAGTCCGAGAGGGGGGGGAATATATATATATATATATATA